AAAAAAAAAGAGAAAGAGAAGCTAAGGTATCTCCGCCTAATCTTCACCGAAGCTCGGCTCAGCACCAGAACCTTCGGGACCTTCAGGCTCATACAACTCTTTTGCCTCGGCCTCGAGCCTCTTGGCCTCTTCAATCTCGGCCGACAGATCAAACCCCTGGGCATAAATCTATTCGAGGGTCTCCCTTCGGGACAACCACTTTACAAACTCAACCTTTGTTATTAAGCGGGCTCGACTATTTTCACATTGGTCTTGTATTGGGCCAGCATTTCCTCGACCTCGGAGGAATCAATCGAGGCTTCCTCTAACTTGGAATTTAGTGCAGTATATTCCCGACCGAGGTCGTTCAGTTCCGAGATGGCCGAATCCAGTTGTGCCCTAAGCTCGTCATTTAGCCGAGACCACTTGTCGGCCTTATCCTTCGCCACCCGGAGCTAGTCCTTGACCGACGCCAACTTCTCTTTGTAGCCTCCTTTTTCGAGGCCAGAAGGTCCATCATGCTCCTTACCATCTCAGCCAAAGTTTTGAGCTTGTTCGTCTTCGGCCCGTAGTTGGTCAATTAGGTCTATCTTCTCTTGGAACTGCGAGGTTGCGTCATTAGTCATTACGCGTAACCTCTCATTTTTAATCTAAAAAATCCTTACCTTCTCGACCAGTTCGGCATGCTCCACTTTCACGGACAAAGCCTCCATTTGAGCTTTTTCTAGCTCAGCTCGAAGAATAAGGAGATCCTTGAGGGCCTCGTCTTTTTGCTCACTAAGAAACTATACATGTCCTTCTGTCGGACTTGCTCTTTGAGCTCAAACTCGAGCTGGTTGACTTCCATTCGAGACCGATGGAAGCGTTCATGGTGGAGCACCGAAGCCTGAAAAATAAATCAATAAGATCATGAGAATACGCTGAAGCTCAATAATATGCACGAAGGGCAAAAGGAAAGGGAAACTTACCTGATTCAGTGCCTGTTGTGCCTTGTTGAAAAGGATTGATGTGCCCACTTCATTCATCTTCACCTGGTCCTCTTTGGTCACCATGCAGTGAAGATAGCTGGCCAAGCCCACCAGAGCAGACAACATCCGGGTGTCCGCCGGTATAGTAAATACGACTATTCTTTTTCAATCGGGATCCACGCTCGGAGCTGGGAACTGCCTCACCAGCTTCGGGCTCGAGCTCGTCTCGCCTGCTCCTAACGACACATCCTTTTTCGGGATCTCCAGGTGACCAAACCTGGAATAATCCTCCAATGCGCCTATGTCCACACAGTGGAAGAACATATTGAGGGCCTCGTCTGTGGCCCGTGCCATCTCATTTGGCTTCTCCTTGACGGCTTGAGCCTCGTCGAATAAGAACTCTGCATGGGACGGCGATTCCGCAATGTCAATGACACCGACAACTTCCCTCGGAGCAAGGATAGTTTCTCGAGAGACCATAGCCTCGGATTTTTCCTCGGCTAAAGAGGGATTGGCCTCTTGGCCACTTCCTCTGGTTGTGGCATGTTCTTCTTCATCAATGGCCGGTACATGGGCGATGATTTCTAGATTGTCATCTTTAGGGTAATCCCTGAGCCGGAAGAGGGAATCAGAGTCCTGTACCCTGGCCCGGGTAATCTTCTTATTGCTTTTTCAGATCCGGTAAGTTACCCTTTTCTTCTTGGCTTCGGCGTCCGGGGAGCCCAAAGATTTCCTTTTTTTTTCTCTTTTTCTCCTCATATGCAGCAACTCCAGGCTGTCCCAAAGAGGAGGATTTATCGAGTGAGGACGAAGCCTCATCCTCGGCCAATGGCCGAAGCTTAGTGGTCTTGGGCAAACCTATGAAAGTAAAAGAAATTAGTGGAAATAACGGTTGAGTATGAAATTAGACTTGTTCAGGAGGAGCACTCACCATGGGAACGGGCCTCCCACTTGCCCTTTGAAAGTTTGCGCCATTCGTGCTCAAAGTAGGATAGTTGTTTACAGACCCCCTCCATCCATTCTTTGAAGCGAGGGACTGGATTAGGAACTCGAGCAACCGCTGCACAATGGTAGAAACAAGCAATAAGGAAAAAAAAAGATAACAAAAGAAATTCCAAGGGAAAGAAACTTACGGGTTGAGTTCCACTTTTCAGGGAAAGGTAAAGATTCGGAGGGAATGAGATCTTCGATTTTTACCCGAATGAATCTCCCCTGCCAGCCTCGATCCCGATCTTCATCGATGCTCGAAAATGGAGCTTTACTTGCCCGATGAACGAGCTTGATTAACCCCCCTCGAAAAACTCGGGGACTGTAGAGACGAAGCAGGTGGTCAATGGTAAATCGAGATTCTTCAGTGTTGTTGACAAAATGGCGGAGGAGGATTATGATCCTCCAAAAGTATGGGTGAATCTGCCCAAGAAAGACCTCGTACCTTTTGCAAAAGCTAAGGATTATGGGATCCACCAGGACAAGTGTGAATGGGTAAGTGTAAACACTTAGATACCCCTCCACATAAGTGGTAATATCCTCATTGGTACCAGGGACGACCACTTCTTTGCCTCCCAATTGCAGTCCTCCCGAACTATAGGGAGTGTATCCTCGGTAATGGAGCATATGTACCTCCATACCCCCTTGCCTTGGTCCTGTTGATTGGAGGCTTTTTCGACTTTGAAATCGTTCTCAATGGAGCAGCCTCCGGGGATGAAGCTCTTCAGGGGAGGTTCCGGGGCCACCTCAGGTACGACCACCTCAGCATCCGTGGCTGGGTTAGAAGTTAAAGGGACGATCTATTGAGGCACATATTTTGAAGTCTTCGCCATCGAATTATGGAAAATATGAAGATTTGAAGGTGAGGATGAAGATTTGAAGATAAGAATGAAGGTATGAAGGTCAAATTTGAAGATTTAAAGATGGAGTATGAAGATTTGAATATGGGAAGATGAAGATATGGAGATCTATGGAACAATGTATGAAGGGGTTAAGAATAAGTGAAAAGTTCGGGAGTAAATTAGGGAGCTCTAAAATCGGAAAGTAAAAAAGTGAAAAAAGGACCGAAGCTTTTATAGAGAAGGGGTAATCAATGTGTGACGTTTCGCATTCCGGACGGTTAACCGGAGGTTGACACGTGTACGAAGTCAGAACGATGCGACTGATGGGACGTTTTACTGACCCGTCAACTTGGCTGCAACGTACGAAAGAAGGAACCGAGGTTAATTCATCGCTTCCCATCGCTTCCCTAAATCTGCTCTCCGAAAAGCGAGGGGACTATCTATGTACGAGTAAAATTGGGGGCAAAGTTTTCCCCGATTCCCCAATAAGAAAATAAGAGGGAAGCACGGTTCGACGCGACTATAAGCAAGGCCGAAGTACCCCTCGTGCCGGGACCCGGGAGGAGTGAATGACGTATCTGGGATCGGGCACGGCAGAATAATGGACCCAGGCCGAGTAAAATTTCTAGACCACGGTAAACGCGGGGAACAGTTATGCATGACAAGTAGAGAGCCATAATATTCGCCCTCAACTGGATATTACGGCGCGAATCCTGTCCGATATCAACTGCAGATCGACATTTACCGGAAAAAGAAGATTTTTACCTTATTTAGACTTATATTAGGACTGAAATTCCCCTACTATATAAAAGGGAATTTTTTTTTATTCTGACACATTGTTGACACGAAAATCAAAGTAATAAAAGTTTATTTTTGTCTTCTAGCTATTATTAAAAGTGTTCTTCAATTATTCTCTTCTTTATTCGCAACCGAGCTCGCATCGAGGGTCCGATCGAGGACGAATTTCACTGGTCAACCTAAGATCAGGCTTGTTCATCACATTGCAATTGGTTTGATCTTTCATTTTATCTTTAACTAAACTACTTGCTTTTCTTAGATCATTCGTATTGAATTAAATCACATATCTTTTAAATTGCGTACAAATTTAATTGTTACTCATTTTTTAAGATAAAAAATGTTATTTATGCTTAGTTGGATGTTGACAAACGAATTGATTACTCAAATGGGAAATGAACAAGCTGTTCCTTATGCCAGAATTATGCAGAATCTAGGGAGCATCTATTTGTTCAGTGTGATTATACTAGAAGAGTTCGCGACAAAGTGGCACAGTGGTTGCAAATACAAAGTGGTGCAAGCCCTACATGGGAGCAACACCTTCGTTGGGTGATTGAAAATTCTAAAGGTAAATCCTAGAAGACACAACTATTCAAGATTATTTACTCAGAGCTCACGTACAATATATGGATTGAAAGAAACAGGAGGATCTTTGAAAAAAGGAGCAGAAGTTGGGAAACATTGCCAAAGAAATTGCCTCTGTAGCTTGTCTCACCCGGATTAATAGCGTGTTTGACCAACCTTTTTTCTGGATCAAAAGTATTTTTTTTTGGTCAAAAGCGCTTTGTTCTTCTAAGTTAAGGTGTTTGGCCAAACTTTTTGAAGAAAAAAAATATTTTTAAGTAGAAGCAGAAGCAGTTTTTGTGAAGCAGAAAAAAGTAGCTTCTCGCAAGAAGCATTTTGGAAAGCACTTTGAGAAAAATACACTTAGAAACACCTTTTAACAGCTTGGTCAAATACTAATTGCTGCTCAAAAATGCTTTTCAAATTGAATAGCCAAACACAAAGTGTTTCTTGACAAAAAGCATTTTTGTAAAAAACACTTCTCAAAATAAATAAATTTTTCCAGTTTGGCCAAACAGGCTATCAGAAATGTACTTCATAGCTATAGTTTTTAGTGTAGTCTTATAGCTCAGGTAGTTAATTACAGTTAGCAAATGTAATTCATAGCTATAGTTTTTAGTGTAGTCTTATAGCTCAGGTAGTTAATTACAGTTAGCAAGCTGTGTATAGCTATTGCTCTTTGCATAATTTCACTTGGTGATTAATACAAAAGTTTAATTACCAAAAAAAAAGATTATATGTATTTCACCAAATATTATTATTATTATAATTTATAAGGATTAAAATCAGAAATTCTCAATAATGAAGGGATTAAAAGCTCTAAAATAAAGAATAGAACATGGTGGACTGCCGAAAAAGAGCCCGACACAAAAATGGAAAAAGAGAACGCGTTTGTCACTTTGTCTTTTTTCCAGTAATACCTCTAACGCGGTGATAGACTGTTTATTTGATGGACACTCGATATTACTAGCTCGCGGGGCCGTCTTTACTAACCCTAGAAAATCGATTTGTCTATCTCCAAAATCCAAATCGCTCCGATGCCTTTGATGTTCAGATCTTCCGATGCTCCTGTCGCAGATGACTTTCGCCCTTCTCTACAACGACCCTTCATATTCCCTCCTTTCTCAAATCTAAATTTTTACACATAGAAATCAAATATTTTGGTGGGTGTTTAGTGTGATAAGGGCGAGTCATCTGTGACAGGATGAAGGAAAATCTAGTTATCAGAGGCTTATTGGGGCGTTTTCATCCAAAATCTCCAACTCTAGTAGAGTATTCTTCAAAGCACCACTGGTAAACATTTCTATTTATTTGTAGTTATTTTGTTGCGTATTATTTGCTTCCGATCTTATGTTATGTTAACAAAAGTTACTATTTTGTTTGTGTGTTGAGATTTGCTTGTAAAGACTAAGCTTTTCATTTGTTTGGATATGTGCCAGCAGTTTTGGACCTTCTTATGTATGTTTGTCTTTGAGTGTAATGTGTATTTGTATGTATACGTACACATATACATACACAGGCAGAGCTTTGAGTGCTTACTCTGCAGTTTAAGGTGGATGGGGTTACAGATATTAATATACCTCGATGGATTGCTGCTTTAATTGCCTCATATTTCCATAATAATATGATTTGTTATACTTACATTTGGGTATCCTGGTAGTTGTCTTGAAATTGTATCCTAGAATACATTTTTTATTATGACTAATGCACAAAGTTATCAGGAGTGTCTCAAGCAGGACTTGAGAGAAAGATAATAGTTACACAATCAGAATATCTATCTCCAAAGGAAAAGAGGAGAGTTATGAAAAATCAGAATATCTCCTTTCCCTTTTTCAGGAGCCAATGCATCCTTTGCAGCTGCTTCCAGCAACATGTCTCATTTTGGTTGAGTATGAAGTTAATTATCCATCATTTGATTCATGTTTAGCTGTGGCTAATAGTGGAAATTTCAGAAAATGGCGAGTTGCAATTCTCGTCTGTACTTTTGATTTTTTTCATCATGTATTTACATACAGGGCATGTTAGCAACTCTCTGAAGTCCAGGTTGTTTTATTCCTCTGTGGTGTGTGATATTACTCTCGCTTTCTTATTATCTTGTTGTTGTTACTGCTTGGTGCTATTGTTTTTTCTTGTCTTTCGTGAGCCGAAGGTTTATCAAAAATAACCTCTCTACCTAAGTTGCTCAGAGCCTCAGACACGGGTGCAGGTCTAGAGGTCGGATCCTTCGAGATGTAAATTCTAAGATTCGGGGATATGGAACCTAGTACGGATACGAGTGTAAGGATCCGGCTAAAATTAATTCAAAAAAATAAAAATATAAAAAATATCTATTAAGTTATGAGAAATTTTATGCAATACTTAAGTATAGCTTGTAAAGTGTGGATTTCTTTTTTAGTTTCATGTTGTAGATAAGTAAAGGATTGATTCCTAGGTAAGGTATGCTATTTTCTTCAAATTTAGTCTAGTTTTCGTTCTGATTTTGGGAATCAAATTGTATCTCATCTCAAATTTTTTTGTCTGTCATGGTCAAAGTACCCAAAATTATTTGACCAGATCCGGTACGGATCCCATCCCCACACCCATACTAGTGTCGTGTCGACACGCGTACAACACATAAATTGCCGTGTTGGAGTAACTTAGTCTCTACCTTCAAGGTGGGGTATGGTATGCGTACACAATAACCCTCTCCAGACCCTACTTGTGAAATTACACTGAGTTTGATGTATTTATTTATGATAGCAAGTAAAGCCTTTAGTCATAATGTTCTAGGAATATTTTCTTTTGAGTGTTGAAGACTGACTGAACATTAGGTATTGATGGGTCAGCTAGCTTAGTGGATCAAAGTTTGTTCCTGTGAGCTTGCTATTTTTGTAGTGCTTAAAAGAATATCTCTACATCTGTGCTTGTATTGTGTAAGATGATGTTTACTCGTCTCGCCAAATCCCTTACTGTCAGAAATTTGATTTGCACGAGTTCGGTTCCGCTGCTCAATTCGTTGTTCTTGTAAAAGTACACAATTGACTGATATCATTATACTTTACAATGGGTCTCTATATCAACTATCAAGTGTACAAATTTGAGTTCTGAAATGAAGTTCAGGAGTCAAACTGCTTGTGTAAATGCGCTATAACAAGCGATGAATTGAGCATACGTCATTAGTGATGTGAATGTCTGCTTAAAACTCTCCAAGAAATAGCACCACTAGCAAAAAAGATGAAAAATAAATTTCTTAAAATAAAAGGAAATTAATGACACCAGTAGCAAGTGTGAAGATGTAAATCAGTCATGGATTTATGATCATTTCTGCATCCGTAATTAAAAAAGGCACCACTAGCAAGTGTGAAGATGTAAATCAGTCATGGATTTATGATACGAAGATGTTCATGTAACCGGTTATGGATTTATGATAATCTCTGTATCCGTAAAAAAAAAGAAGGCACCACTAGCAAGTGTGAAGTTGTAACCGGAACTGCTAGCAGTTTTGGGCCTTCTTATGTATGTGTGAGTCTCTGAGTGCGTGTTTGTGTGTGTGCGCGTGTTTGTGTATATAGAGAGATAAACATACATATACAGATATACACGCGCGTGCACACAACATTTTGAGTGCGTACTCTGCAATTCAAGGCGGATGAGTGTACAAATATCAATATACCTGGACAATTTTTTCATGTGATCAGGAGATCATGGGTTCGAGCCGTGAAAACAGTCTCTTGTATAAATTGAAGGTAAGGCTGCATAAAATAGACCCTTGTGGTCCGGCCCTTCCCCGAGCCCCGCGCATAGCGGAAGCTTAGTGTATCAGGCTACCCTTATTAAAGCTGAAACTCATTGATCATTGATGTACAAAAAGTTATAATTTGGGTTTGGCATCCCAAACCGGAGAAATTAAAAAATAACCAGATTTACAAGTGGTCATTCAAAAATAGCCACAATTTCAAAAGTCATCGAAATTTAGCCACTTTTCATGTAAAGATAAATCTGAACGAAAACACTGTTCAAAATCCGAAAAATATTCCAGCATAATATACTGGAGCCAGCAAAGTATACCGGTCCAGCATAATATGCTGGAAGTTCATACACAGGTGCACCGAACTCCAGTATATTATGCTGGACCGGTTTCTGTTGCAGCAAAATATTGACTATTTTTCAATGACTTGACAAACACCAGCTATTTTTAAATGACCAGTCCGAAAACTGGCTAGCCCGTGCTATTTAGCAATGATAATTGAGATGAGACTAATGCTATTTGTCCTAACCAAAAATTCACAAAAGTGTATGAGTGGTTTTGGGGGGAGGGTTTCATAGATGACGTGAGCTACTTTAGTTGGTTATTCCTAAATGATGGGATACTCCATCTTTCCATGTTTACGAGGCCCCTAACCTGTCTGGGAAGATTAGACAAAGAGTTGAAGATATGAATTCCATCAAGACTATGGCTTAAAGCTGCCAACTTATCTGCAGGTTGTGCCTGCTTTTTTGCCTCATCATTCCATAATGTGATTTGGTATAGGAACATTTGGATAGTTTGATGGTTGTTTTGAAACAAGTTTGGGTCGGCTATATGAATCTTCACTGACCACTTACTCCATTAAAACTGATCTCACGCGAATAATTATGTAAAAATTATTTTTTGATCCGATCTTTTATTATGACTAATGAACAAAGTTGTTAGGTGTCTTTCAAGCAAGACTTGAATTTGAATCCTACTGGATTTGATTGATGATTAGGATAGATCTTTGATACTATTTGTCATTGACCAATTACTTATATCTGAAGGGGTGAATGGAGAAGGAAATCAGTTCAGACAATTCTATTGGGAAGGGAAATGATATATGATTGATGAAAAGGCTTCTTAATTAGTATTTAATTAGGTTTGTTGAAGTGTTGTGGACACTCGGGCACTCTTGTGCTTGCCATTAATAACTTAATGAAGGGACACAAGTTTTTGCAGCATTGTATGAAACTCCAGGGGTTTATTAACTATCGAGCATTTTGTGGTAAGACAAAGATAAGAGCTAGTAAAAAATTCCGAAGGAGTTATAAGATCAGAATATCTTGCTTTGCCAGCAACCTATCTTATTCTGGTTGAGTATGAAGTTAACTATCCATCATTTGATTCATGTTTAGCTGTGGATGATGGTGGAAATTTCAGAAAATTGTGAGCGGGAGCTTAACGATTATCTCCTATACCTTTGGCATTTACATCCAGGACATGCTAGCTAGCAACTCTTTGAAGTCCAGGTTTCTTCTTCCTTTGTGGTGTGTGATATATCATATCCTATTTGCTTATCATGCCAGTAAAGCCTTGAGTCTTAATGTTCTCTCGGAGTACGTTCTTGGGAACCTTGAGTCATATCCTATTTGTTTATGTTCGCTAGGGGAGTAGGGGTACGTTCTTAGTTAGGCCGTGGGTCAGTTACCTTAAATATATAGTCAAAATTTGTGTCTCCATGTTTGCTGGTTTAGTCAGAAGCGGATCTATGATTTGATGTATGAGTTCTAACTTTTAATATAGGATCGTGACCTAAAAATAATATACAATAACAAGCATACTAAAGAACATGTACCGATATTTAATATATATTTAAAAAGTAACGCACCAATAAACATTATCATTTCAATTGCACTCGACCAATTACTTTATTTAAAACAATAACAAAAGAGGACAATAATCGATCAAACATAAAAGTTGATAATCGGAAATTTTCTAAAGTCACTAATTTTATGAGGATATTGGTCTCATTAATAAAGTAAGAAACTAAAAACATAAAAAGTAGGACAACACACCTTGTCGGCTTGTCAGAAACTCAACATTTGAAATTTTAGGAAGCACAAAAGTATAAATTGACAAAAATAAAGGTCAAGATAGGGGACAACCCTAAAATCAAAGATTAAAAATCAATTTTTTTTGTATAAATTGTTAATACAAATATGAAATATAAGAGAGAAACAATAAAAGAAAGAACAGAAGGAACAAGGGAGTAGAGTTGGACGGACAATTTCTTTGGAATTTTGATTTGGGTGAGGAAAAGATTTAAAGGAGCAATTTGATTTGGCAGAACCCTAGCGTGACGTCTTTTTTATTTTATCTAGAGGAACAATTTTTTTTGTTCAATTTGATTGATGTTTTCTTACAAAAAAAAAGGTACCAAGTCCTAATGGGCTTCTTTGTTACTAAGCCTTGTTTGTGTAAAGATCCCTTTACTTTTCCTTTTGAGCAATTTACAAAATACAACTTCTTAAAGACTTATTTAAATAAACTACAACTACTTTCAGAATATTACATATATAAAATTTATTTAAAATTTAAAATTAAATTATATACAATTTTTCTTATTCCTAATTTCTCTCTCACCTAAAATATCCCTAATATATTTCTTTCAATATTCTCTCTCACCTAAAACAGGTAAATCCACATCACTTTTCCTTTAATTTATCCATTAAAGGATACTTCTTCACACAGTTAGTATATATCATACATATTGTATAGGGTAAACTACGCTATGCTACGTGGCCGCCCAAAAGAGGGACACGTGGAATCTAAGACGGGGATGGCGAAAATCGAAGGCAACGGTCCCGTCTGTGACCGGAAAGAATAACACTCATAAGGATGCAATAGATACTCTTCGCCCGGTAGCATTCAATAGAGAATATTCCACAACATTAAGTACGTTGTCTGTTACAAGAAATTTAGCATTTATGCTCACCGTTACATCTTCATCAATGGCCCTCATAATTGACATTAAAGAAGGGCACGATCCTAGGACCTCCTTTCCTATACGTAGCTATAAATAGTGAGCTCTGTTATCATTGTAAGGACACGAATTTTTTGGAAAATTAATACTACAATCTATTCAAAGCTCTAATCAATTTTACCTTCTTATTTTCTATTCTTGTTTTTATTACTATTGCGCCCAGAGGCTTCACTTCTAGAGTCTTTATTTCAGTCATTTCATCTTCCTATGAAGGCTAAGTCTTATATATTTTCAATTATCTTGTTATTTCAGGATCAGATTAATTCATTTGTCTAGAAATCACGTATAAATTTAACTGCACTATTTTACGGGTAAATAGTTTGGCGCCCACAGT